AGGGCAGATTCCTTGCTTAAGACCTAACCAAAAATGTTGTATCAACACATGGTCTGGTATAAACAAGGCTAGGCCAGAGTGTGCTAAGATTGGAAATCTAGCCTAGGCTACACCTATGGTTTCCTTCTCATGTTGGTGGGAGCTGAGAATCTCTTGTCGCAGGAAAGCAATTTGAGATATAGAGAAGAATATGGAACATAATTTGTCCCTCAATTCTTCCCAATCTCTGTTTACCTTCCCTACGTTGTGGGTGGAGGTTGTTTTGCCCTCTCAAAAGAAGGGAAACAACTTCTACCGGAGGTTTTTCTGGTGCCCATGTCTGAGATTGTCTAGCACGCACAGAGCTGCTCAGCACTCCCATAGATGATGGCAAGAGTTTTCATAAACTTAACCAGAGATGGTTTGTTCCTGAACCATGGCTATAAAAGCCGGGACGGAGTTCATAGCCAGAAGCTGTGATTGGCTTCGATGGTGGTGGCTCTAAGAGCTCGTCCTTAGGAGCAAAAAGATTTTGAGTTCAAGGCTTCATGATGAAAAGAAAAAGGGATATATTTTTTTGAAAGGTAAAACACAAAGATACACGGGTGAACTAGGTTCGGAGATAATTACGACAACCGTTCCCCGGCAACGGCGCTAGAAATGCTTGTTGGTATTTCTTAACGCATACAGAAATAATCCGCAAGCGCACGGAATTACCGTTGTAGCATTTCACCCGAAAGTATTCAAGATATCGTATTTCCACGAGGAACGGAGGTGTAAGAGCCTCTTAAGCTAGTTCACCTAATGATAACAAGAAGGATAGCCTGGGTAGTCAGGTTTTCTAGGGATAGAGATCCTAAGTTAAGATAGCTTTGCCACCATAGACTTGCTTCAGCAACAGATAACACTTGGTCTGCCAAGCGTTGTCGGCCTATGGCTCTACGTCGTATCTGGACGTGGGGGATTACGAGGGACGGAAATGACTGTCACCACCTGCCGCCTCCCCCTCAACCGTGGAGTATGAGGCAAACAAAGGTAGCCTCTAGCCTAGACACCACGTCTACACTATCGACTACTACTCTAGCATCAATCAGGTTATCCGTCTTTATCAGGGCCCTTTACTAGAGTATTCGTCACAAGGACGAACGACGAACCCGCAAGTAAATAATGAACAAGACTAACTTAAAGTAGGACTCACCACCAAAGATAAACACGAACCTTATACTCCAAGTAGCATTTGGATCGTAGAGGTACGAGTGGAGAGGAGCTGATGATTCCCGGCATTCCTTCTGCTAAGTGTCACTACAAGGATTCACCTCTAATGCCACGCCACACGATTGCAACACCACTAATTTGGTTGCCACCAGGGGTTGTATTGCAACCTTTATGTAAAATGGTTGCAATATGTGCCTATAATGCAACAGACTAAATGTGTTGCAATATGTGTGGTTAGTAGTTGTAACAGGCGTGTGCTACTACAACCATTTAAGAATTGTGTTGCAATTAGTTGGCATTATTGTCATGGCGCTTTGGAGTTGCATTAGTCTTGATTTTCGTTGTAATTACTTGATGTCATTGCAACTATATTGGATTTGGTTGCTTTTGCTTGTAACTATTGCCATGATTGTTCTAAGTTGCAATAATCTTCAGTGGTGTTGCAATTGCTAGGTGGTTGTTGCAACAAGAATTTTGAATGGATGCAATAGCATGTTCATATTGCCACGGTTTTTTGGGGTTGTAATAATCTTCTGTGGCGTTGCAATTGTTAGGTACTTATTGCAACTAGAATCCTAAATGGGCGCAATATCATGTTACTACGGTTTTTTTGTGTTGCTATAGACTAGTGTGTGCGTTGCAATAAGTTGTGGCCAAAAGATTTGATACTCTGCTACGCTATGTGATCATACAGCCATACTAAACCATTTATAAATGAGTGATTGAAAATATTAGTAGAAATACAACACTGAAGCTGACTTGAGAGAAGAAAAAAAATAGAAAAGCACCAATAGAGGAGCAAAACAAAGAAGCACCAATAGAGGAGGCGTGTTTGGTAGGGCTTTTAGTGACTCTGAGTGTTTGGTAGGGCTTTTAGTGACTCTGACTCCATGTATCAGAGAAGCCGGGGCCAGAGGAGCCAAAAAATGTCAAACCTCCATAGTGGTTCCCATGATCATGTCACTATGCCAATTTTACATTACTTCATGCGTTCCAACTTTTGGATTATATACCGACTTCTTTTTTAAGTAAACATAGAAGACCTTCATATGCAAACATAATATTTTTCTATTCTCAAGTAAATAGAGGAGGTACCTTGTGAAGCAACATTAAAATGAATTTCCCACATCATTAAAATGAATTGACCACAAAATTAATTTACAACCATCAGGCAAATTGAAAATGGCCACATTGATTACATCTCTTGGTAAATCAGATTCATTCATAGTTTTTTTTACTCAAAGCTAGCTCTACGGCCTTGTTATTGAAACCAGAGACTCGACAACATCGCAAGTCACCAAACTTTTTACAAACTCTGGGAGGGGGTTTGTCCAAACACAAGACTCACCCAGGTCCCAACTCATTCCTAAACTAGCTAGAGCATGCGCAGCTGAATTACAAATTCTAGGCACAAGGAGAACATCATTGCAGAAGAAAAGCTCTTGAGAGAACACGTGTGTCCCTGATCAACATACCACTGGCCGGCAGGTCCATTGATGACGTGAGGAACGCCTGCTGTAGGAGTTATATGTTCAAATAATTGTCACATGCCAAACTCCACCCAAAATACATGACCACACATGTTACCAGGTCACATATCCAAGCCATTACCAAAAGAGACTTTCACTGTATGCCATTATATGTCTTTTTTCATAATCCCTTCACACGCCACTACTCAACTTTACCGGGTCTTCCATACCAGTCGATTCGGGGCTCCATGATGAATATATAAGTTCAAAAAATCATCATATTTTTTTGAGCATAAATTAAATGAAAATGAAAATTTTATAAACTAGAAATTATAGATCGACGAGATCTATAATTTTAGTATAAAAGTTTTTTCATTTAACATAAGATGCTCAAAAAATATAATAACATATTTGAACTTAAGGGACATTATAGATCTCATGTTTGAGTTTTGCATTTGATAAATACACGACGGAAGTGGCATGGAGGACCCAGTATGTTGAAGACCGCTGAATTTTTCTAGGGGCACACAAGGGATTACGATCTTTTATAATGGCACACAGGGAAAAGTCTCTTACCAAAATAAACAACTACATCCAAACCACACTACACCATGACACAATATTGACGACATGTTTGGTGTCACCAAAGATCCTATCAGCTACATACATCACATGTTTGTGCATAGAAGCTAGCAGGTCTGTGTACACTATCAATTGATTTTTAGAAGAAAAAAATCTCTTGAATCATCAGCAAGTCAGCTTGTTGTTAGTGTTGCTCTTCCAACCCACCTCCTAGAATAATCTGTAAAACAGATCACCAAGCAGCAGCTTCTAGAAATTAAAACGAAGTATTTGAAGTTGAAAACTTTGATGATTACAGCTTTGGTCAATCAGAGAAAGACAACACAAAGTGCTTTGACAACATAGCAAACTAAAACAAAGACAACACAAAGTGCTTTGACAATATAGCAAACTAAAACAAAATGTGACGAGTGTTGGTGTATGAGTGCATTGATCCTTAGATGCCAAATATTATATGAGATGGGACTAAAATCTGATGGTTTAACATGAGTAAAAATAATATAGACCAACTATTTTCATTGAAAGAGCCAATCATTTCTTACAGTATTCAAGAAGTGTCCCATAGCTAGCACTGGAAGTTATCTATGTCCAAACTGTAAAAAACCACAGTTACATAATGTGAGCTACCTAGCTGCCCTACTCCAGCTAGCATAATATACTTCCAAATCCCCCACTACTTTTCAAATAGGATAGTACTATGTATTCTGAACACTAAACTTGTCCAAAGAGAAACAAGCCTAAATATTGTAATGTTGAAACAATAAATTCACAATGCCTATGCATCTGAACAGTGGGAAATTCTGAAAGTAAACTTATTGGAAAAAAGTAAATTCAGAAAGTTATGGTAATTGCAGCTTACAACTCAACAGTCTCCAATGTAATCCAAAAACAGTGAAAGGAACCTGTTGTTGCATGGACGGTCATCATTAGGCCCTCAACAATGCCAAATTCCATGTTGATAACCTGCAGACCATGAATGTATATTAGCATGTTAAGTAATGAGTAGTGATACTGCAATGGCAGCACTGGAAGATACTCGGCATCCAAAGGGCATGGAACTCTAAGTACAAAGGACTTGCATCTTTTATCATTTTGCAATTACAGTATGTCAAATTATTCTATTTCATAATTTGAACTTACTAGCCAATCAATAAAGGATCAGATACATTTACGAATCAATATATATTCACTTTTTTACAGAAACTACGACAGCTTATGCAAGCTGTCTGAACTTTATCATTACACAGAGCAGAGCAGGTACGCTTTGAAACCTTGGACCTTCCTACTCTTACCTTTTGCTAGTAGCTGAGATTTGCTTCTCATTAATCTCCAAGGTTGACGCATCGAGAACCTTTCTGGAGCCTTTGAATGGATCGTGCGTTGAATCATCCAAGGTTTTGTACTCCCTCCGTTCCAAATTATAAGTCGGAACTGCTACTGAATGCTGCCTGGGAGGCTGTGAACTGCTACTGAATGCACTTGTGAACTGTTGCTTCTTCTCAATCTGAACCACACATGCAGGGCCTCTTCTCTACTAAGGGTTATAGTAATTTGAAGTAAATATATAGATTAAGGACAATATCCAAACGCAGAAAAAGAACAGATGAGGACACGTTCTACCTCAACTGAAATAACCGTGTACCTATGTGTGTGTGAGAGAGAAGGGTGATTCGTTCATCACCTGGGTGATGTGGAGGCGGCATCCATGGGAGGACTCACGGACATATACGACTTGCCGGGTTTCACGCCTTCACCTCAACACCTGCAACATATAAGAAAGATTCAGAAAAAAAAAGATGGATCAGGCCATGGACAACGAATGGAGTTCTTGGGATGCAGCAGCTTCTCCCTCATGGCAAGATCTGCTGGCGACCATGGTAATACCTGGGACCCTAATACCTGTAGTAGTCGCCCTTCATCTTGACCTTGGACTCAGAGGCGCTGGCGGATAGGACGAGGCGGGAGTCGAGCAACGCGAGGATGTCGTCGTAGATGCGGGCGAGCTCGGCCTCCACCACGAGCAGTAGGTGCGGAGAGAGGGAGCACGCGCGCCGCCGCCGCCGCTGCACCCGCGCCATGCCAACGGAAGGGGCCGGAGCTGCCCGCACCCGCGCCGCACTGCCGTCCAGCCTTCCTTCCTTCCTTCCTGGCGTTTATGCAGCGGCAGTGGCAAGCAGATGGGGCAGATTCCGTGCGGCTGGGGGAGGGCGCCGGTAGCGGAAGGGACTGGGGCAGCGGCGGCATGGCTTGCGGTGGTGACTGGTGGGTGGATGGAGTGCGGTGGTGGGTGGACAAAGGAGGTGAATTTGGGACGAGTAGAGACGCAGACACGGGCGGTGGAGAATTTTCAATTGACCAGATAGGCAGAGACGCGCGTGGCACGGCGGGAGAGGAAAAAAATTGGCGGCGGCTGAAAAAAAATGATACCCCACGATTCAATGTCACACGATTTTTCGTGACATATGATGCCTTAGGAAGGGTTTGATTTGTCACTAAAATGTGGGAGGTATTAAATGAGGGTGTCGTATGGGTGTTTAGATATTAATAAAAAAAAATAAATTACATAATCCGTCAGTACTCCACGAGACGAATTTTTGAAGCATAATTAATCCGTTATTAGCACATATTTACTGTAGTACCACATTATCAAATCATGGATTAATTAGGTTTAAAAGATTCGTCTCATAAATTAGTCGCAACATGTGTAATTAGTTTCGTAATTAGTCTATATTTAATACTCCATACATGTATCTAAACATTCGATGGAAAAACGACTAAAATTTAGGAGGAGAAACCAAACACCCACTTAGAAACCAAATTTACAAAGTAGAGTACGCATACATTTGAATTTTCCTTCTAAATTCATCTTGAATCTTGAAATGTATTTGTATGTTCATAAATATATCTTTTTTCTACGACGTAGAGTACACATACATTTATAGGATTATATGTCCTTGTGCATGATTGTGTATGGCATACTGATCCACCATGGAATTCGACTAATCAGTGGTGTAGCCATGTGGGCACAGTGAGAGCTATTAGAGAAAGTTTGTGTGTGTTATGCTTTGTTTGCATAAAAATTTTGGAACTAATTTGTTATTTTTATAGTCAAAATGAATTTTTGCATGTTGGTAGAAAATAACTTCAAATTATACTGTGGGTACCTCTAACAAGTTTTAAACAAATCATAAAAAACATATTTAGGAACATAAGTTTCACTCTAGCCCATATTCTCGAGATACTTTCAACCAACAACCAACAAGCTATCAATGTTGTTGTTGACAAGTTATTTTTGTCAAATATATTTTTATTTTCCATTTATAAATTTGTTTTCCATTTTTATAAATGAACAATGATTAATTTTTCAAGAGATCCTAACACTACTCTATCGATGGATCATGCCTGTCGAATTTTAATTGTAGAAGCTGACATTATTAAGAAATAACAGTAAAAGGAAAAAAATCCATGGCACCGATGGATATCAACCTAAGACTAATTTATTGATACCAATTCAGGTTATACACAAGTAAAGGCTAGCACCTTCTAGGAACATTGGCGAGGGGTATATCAAGGTTGCTTTAAGGTCAGTAAGGCCACCTAAAACACCAAGGAATCTCGTTGAAAGAATCGTTGGCCAACATGAGGTTGGAGGAGCAAAGTTAGGAAAAAAGGAGTAATAAATGTATTTTTGACGACCCTATGTTTTTCGATCACCTTGACGAGAGAAACATAATTGTGAAGTATGTTATGCGCTTTGGCAATTTCTCACTGTTACCACAACCTTAATTAATAAAAAAATAAAAAAGGAAAAATAAAAGATATGGCACCAATGTGGGTCGAACCTAAACCATGTGAATTCCAAAATTTAACTATACTTTATTAGAAAATGTTATTATTAAAAAATAACACAAGAAAGAAAAAATCTTATGTGGCAATTGGCGGAACCAGAAGAATAACTTAGGAAGGATGAGACGAATGTAAGACATAGAGATAAAAGCACTTTTAACAACTCCTTCACATAGAAATAGTTACTGTTACTATGCTGCTGCAGGAGTATTAAAAAAATTCATACGGGCCATGAAATATCGAGGCATCTCTGACAAATTTTAATCAATTTTACAAATTTTTAGATGTGAACACGATATTTTTATCTTTAGGGTCGATTTTTAATGTGGGTTCTGCATATAGACTTAGTGATATCAATATGCATAATATTGTCGTAGGCCTTGGCCTTCGAACACCAGGTGGTTGCCGAACTAACAAGAACTCAAAAAAAGTTTCACGGGAGCACGGGGTGGAACAAAAGGAGAACGACGAAGTGGATTCTAAAATAGAATATATCACTCTTCATCCTTCTTGCAGCAACCGCTGTGGGTCTTATTTATATATATACGTAGACTTTACATGGGACCGAAATGCCCTTTGCACCTATGGTAGATTCGAAGCATATCCTAGGTAACCAGGGCAAATCCCGTCAAAACTGCCTATGATCGCATCTCCACCCGTGGGGGAGGACACGAGCCGCTGCCGCCGGCCCTACTGAAAGCTCTAGTTTGGTTTTGGTGAATTGATGAAACCCTAAGTGCTAACCAAGTTTATCAAAGTGATCATGAGATAGGTAGCACATTCCAAGTGGTGAAGCAAATGAAGATCATGACATGATGATGGTGATGCCATGGTGATGATCAAGTGCTTGGACTTGAAAAGAAGAAAGAGAAAAACAAAATGCTCAAGGCAAAGGTATAAGTGGTAGGAGCCATTTTGTTTCGGTGATCAAGACACTTAGCAAGTGTGATCACATTTAGTTTCGATAGCCGTGCTATTAAGAGGGGTAAAACTCGTATCGAAGTACGGTTATCAAAGTGCCACTAGATGCTCTAACTCATTGCATATGTATTTAGGATCTAGTGGAGTGATAACACCCTTGAAAATGTTTGTGAAAATATGCTAACACACATGCACAAAGGTGATACACATTGTGTTTAGCACTTGGGAGCAAGGGTAAGAAACTTCACCAACGGAGTGTGGACAGTCCGATGGTGCCACCGGCGCCCTATATAGAAAAGACAAGGTTTCACAGAGTGCACCGGACGTTGATCTCAAATGGACCGGAGCGTCCGGTCAGTGGAAGCAGTAAAGACGTTGGCGTTGGTCTTCGACCGGATGTTGGGTCACTTCGTGACCGGACGCTGGCTGGTGGCTGCGTTCGGTCCCACTGATGTGGTAGTGCACAAAGAAGACGGTGAGTGACCGGACGCTGGGTGAGCCCGGTCAGGTGTGACCGGATGCGTCTAGTCACGATTTTCCACCTCTAGAAGCTTACTAGAAGTAACCGGACGCTGGGGTCCTACGTCCGGTCGAGCGTGTGACGACGTGTCCGGTCGCGAGTGGAACCTTACTGGAAACGACCGGACACTGGTGTTGGTGCGTTTGGTCACTTCGAGCAGCGTGTTCGGTCACAACTTAAGTATACCGATGACTATTGAGATCGGGCGATCAGTGTTTGAAGCCAATGACACGTGGCAAGCATCGGGTGACCGGACGCTTGGGGTCCTGCGTCCGGTCGATCTGATCGGAGCGTCCGGGCACCCCGAGCAATGCCCAGTGAAGGGGGTACAATGGCTCTATTTCATGGGGGCTTCTATTTAAGCCCCATGGCTGGCTCAAGCTCACTTTCTTGGCCATTTGCATTGACATAAACCTTGTGAGCTTAGCCAAAGCCCTCCCACTCATCTCCATCATTGATTCATCATCTTTGTGAGATTGGGAGAGAATCCAAGTGCATTCGTTGAGTGTTTGCATCTAGAGGCACTTGGTGTTCATGTTTCACTGTGAGATTCGCTTGTTACTCTTGGTGGTTGTCGCCACCTAGATGGCTTGGAGCAGTGAGGATCGTCGAGCGGAGGTTGGTGATTGTCTTCGGCTCCGATCGTGGTGATTGTGAGGGGTTCTTGACCTTTCCCGACAGAGAGCCAAAAGATACTCTAGTAAATTGCTCGTGGCTTGTGTGATCCTCATCTTGTGTTGGTTGTGCGGCACCCTATTGAGAGTTTGGCGTGTGATGCCAATTAATGCGTGAACCTCTAAGTGAGTGAATCGCCACAACGAGGACTAGCTTGCCGGCAAGCAAGTGAACCTCAGTAAAAATTCATTATGTCATCATTTGATTCCGAGGTGATTGGTCTTCATTGGTATTCATTCTTGTGATTGATTGGTTCATTCCTCGACTCAGCGGTATAACCATCTTGCTCTATCTCTTTACATTACTACAAACTAGTTGTCAAGCTCTTTAGTATAGCTAGTCGTGAGAGCTTGTTATTTTGGTTAGTGTGGCTCTTCAGTTAGCCTTTGAGAGCACACTAACTTATTGTGGTAACATAGCCATTTTGTGGATAGAGACAATAGAAACTAGAATTGTGGTAGGTGGCTTGCAATTTTAGTAGGCTAGTGCAACACTCGCTTCGCCATATATTTGTCTAACCGGTTTGCTAAGTGTTGTTGTAGAAATTTTTAATAGGCTATTCACCCCCTCTAGCCATTAGGACCTTTCACCTACGCGGCCTCACCGCTGGAGGAGCTCACGACGGTGGTGTGGCCATGGAGGACGAGGAGCCCGTAGACTCATCGGCCTCCGCCATCGTGGACTGAGCATTCCACCTACGGCCTGCCCTGCCTCCCTCCTTCGGATCTGCATCGGAGGGGAAGTTGAAGTCCCACTCCCACCTCGATGGACGGGACTCGACGCAGGGGTTAGCGCCATCGCTACAGCCTCAGCGCGCGGGCGGCCTAGGGGCGTGCCGTCGCCTGGAGACACGGTGGCCAAGGGGGCGGGTGCTGCCATGGCCTCAACGCATGACGGACGATGGCTGGCACCGTCGCAACCTGGAGTCCAAGATTTGGAACGGCCCACATTGATCCAGCAGTTGCGACTCTCGACTCTAGGTATGATTTGATTTGACCGTTGCTTCCTCATTCTCATTGGTTTTTGGTTTTGATCCATGTTGATTGCGGTTTTGATGGTGATTTCTTTGTGTTGTTCCAAGAACCATTTGCTGCCGAGCTTCATGGACACGTCGGTTAGAAGTGGCAGCGACAGTGATCGGAATGGCAAAAAAGAGGACAAGAGCATTCAACGCTGGCCAAGAAAGGCATGTTCAGGTACGTGGACCGCCTCCTCCACGAATCCACCCGAGCCTTGCGTTACTTTAGCAAATATGACAACACCACATGCCTAGGACAGTGCTTGCATCTTTCGATCCATCTAGCAGCCAACCAATATGGGAGTTAATTGCCCTTCCAAATCAAGAAGGCCTTTTCATATGTCACATCTTTTTGGATGAATTGCTTGATATGATTTGCCCTGCTATAGGTTGACAGGCTTTCCTTGCAATAGATAAAAGAGCTATTCTCTGCACATAATTAGTAGATGAATCCTACCTATACATATTAAATGCGAACTTTGCAGATGCATGGATGAATTCTCTCTATTTTCAGTAGTGGTCATGTGTTTTTGAAAAGGCATTAGAAAAGCAAGATGCATATGAACAATTTACTGTGATGGTCACTGAGAAGTAGGATATCGCAATGCTTTCCTGCTTTCCTCTCATGCTCATGCCTATATGTCATGCCTTAGTAGAGCTTCTAAAGTGTGTCAAACTGTATGCTCTTATCTACTTGTTAAAGTTATGTAGATAAAAAAATTCTTAGAAAATGGTGTCCTCAAATTGTAGTTGTTGTTTTAGCAAGGTCGGTTTCTCTTACTATATGGTCAAAAAATGTTGAAAAAAGTTGTGTTAATTGTGGTGTATTTTTTGGTGTGCCCACAATACAGTGTGAATCAATTTTCTACTCTGCAGGAGGTAAAACATTGCATGGTATGGGATCCTCGTTGTCTTCCTAATGCTTTGTAAAGGTAGACTTCCTAATGCTTTGTTATCTTTTTTAAATAACAGATTATTGAAAAGCCTGTAAGCTATTACCACATAGAGTGTTTTCATGTGCTATGTGACTCCAAGTATTATTAATGTGTAGCTGTCTCTTTTTTTCAGAGTGAACAATAGACAATTGAGACTGTGTTTCATTTATAATCAGTTTTTGGATGCCATATGGGTGGTTGGGGGTGGTATCCAAAATATTTTTTAACTGCTCCATGGAAATTAAACAAAATCGATGATTTCACTTCTTCATTTTACTATGGAATAAATTTATCTTTCTGAAATAGTGCTAACTGATATGCTAATTTTTTTTGGCTTATCTAAAAAGAGTCAAGAGTATTCAACTCAAAATAAGATAGATCTTAAACAACATAGAACCATGTGATCCTCTAATATATAAAAAGAGATGTGTGCCAGTTGTATGATTTGTACTATTGCAGGTATCTTAGGACCACCCAGTGGTGTTCTTCGATCCATGCTTATGATTTTTTTGGTTAAAAATATGACTTTTTGTGCTTGTAGCAATGCACAGGCCAATACATATATTACAGTAACTCTATTTCGCAGATTGGAGGAGAAGAAAAGTGAAGGGGAGCAATTTGATCAAAAACAAAAGTGAAAAGTTGTAGATTGAAGGAGAACAATAACTGGTTGATCATTTTCTAATATAGATCATCATACAATGCTTCAGTCCCTGGATAGAAAGGCATATAGGTAACTCTGTTACATCTTACAATTGATGCAAAAGTTAAAGCTCAATTACCAGTGACATGTGAATCTTGTGACGCTAAGCATGACCCTACACGGGATTATATGCTTTTAGAGCATAACTGTTGTATTTGTGTATGCTCACTACCCAACGCTCCAAATTATAATAACCAAATGTGCAAAGAGCCACCCAACTTTATCTGTCCTATATGTTGCATGCAGAATAAGGCAATTAATATGATACTGATGTGTGTTATCATCAAACTACCCATTTGCAGTTTGTTTTTCCCTTAAATTAAATATACATGGGTTTTAGGTTTTCATAATAAATGATTTTTTCCGTAGAGATAATGATAAATAATTTATTTGAATTTTCGGTTAAGTTGCTAGAGAGCCTGTTCAATATTTTTTTAACGATTTTTCTTTGTTGAGAGAGTTTGATGCATAGATAACAGTTTATCTGAATATGACATTTTTTTCTTTTTATCCCAGAACTACATGACCATTTTGAAAGGTTGAACAGGATCTAGAAGTTTTGAAGCTATATTGTTACATCGAAGTTCTGAACGGACGATTGAAACCAATTTACAATTTAGTCAAATTGCATACTAGGGAACTTTTGTTGCTACAGCAGTGTACCAGATTGTTATTAATATACAATTAAAAGTAAAAGGCTAGATATGAACCTATGAGTAAAGTACTTTCACAATTTGAAGAAAGACAACCATCTGTCTTAGTAGTAGTAGTAGGGATTTATTTCCAATGATGTGTTGTTGTCTTTATGTTCATATTTGATATATATGTGAACTGGCATGACATATTTTTACAACTTTTGCTCATTCAACATTGTCGTGTCTTCTTCGTAGGCTCTCAGATTATTCTTTGCCGTGTCTTCTTGGAAAATTGCAGGTATGTCACCTTGAGTTGGTAATTTCAGTTAATGTTATCTAAGAGCTTGCAGGTTTGGTGTTAGAGATGATTTCTCTGTTGGCATCACTATATGGTGTTTCTTTTCTGGATAGTTTCAATGAAAAGTTCTATGCTTAATAATGAAAACATAATATTCTTGTTATTACTAAACTGTAAGGCTTGCAAGTTGAAAAATTTAGTACGTGACTATGTGGATACGACTCTTCGTGCATACGACTGATAATTTTAGTATGCAACTCTGCACGAATACTAATTAACCCATTTAACCAGCAAACATGGATGAATTTCAGCATGTTTATCAAACAAAAAGAATTACTTTCACTTTGAAGAATGATGTTTGGATTGCACGTGAGGACCTGGTCTGGAATAGGCAGGACGAGGAAACCATGAGTACCACCTCTCAGGTGGGTTGGTTTCCTCCCACCCACCTGAGATTGATCCCTCTCTCTCCCCTTCTTGGATTACTCGCGAATGTGCTCAGGTCTTTTGTCCATTGGTTTTGTGTCTCTAAAACTGAATGTTGCTTATTGACCATGTGAGTTGAAGTGGACTGTGTTAGTGTTGTGGTGACAGGATAAATTAGTATCAGCAGGGATGATTCACCCTGGTTTTATCCATATCATTTGATTGGACATAAGGGTGCTATGAAACAATTGATTGCAACATGTCTGATTACATTTGAATTGGTTGCAGGACAGCGATGGAATCAATAGGTCTGCAACACTAGCCTCCTCGAGTTGCCATCCTACCCTCCTTACCAGCTCTGCCTTGGACGCACTCAAGATGTTGGCAACCTTGAGGAGATTGACCAGGAAACCACATAGGAGATGACGTCCCTCTTCACCGGCAACATTCACAGGCTCACGATCTTCTCAATAAGGTGGCAGTGCTTAGTGATCTGCTTCACGTCCCCATTCCCGGTTAATTAGTGCTGACACAGATACTTCAAAAAATGGAGAGTTTGGTTTAAAGACTTTGCAGTGGACAATATCTATTTTGAGTGTCTTAATAGTTTTTGATATTTTTTGTTAGGAACCTTACTAACATTATACAAAGGTTCCGATTGTATCTATGTCATCCAAGTTTTCTGTTGTAATAAGTTTTCATCGTACCCCCTCTGGTTTGCAAATATTTGATGTTTGGAAATATTAGACAAGGTTTGAAATATCATTGGAGCCACAAGTTTGTGCTGCAATATTAGAGAGGGGAGATGGGTTAGTAGGCATGTAACTTGCCATGTGCCCCTTGTGTACGTAACTCGCCATGTGTCCCTCGTGTATGTAACTCGCAATATGCTTGTGTGGCTACTAGCTGGTCTCGCCTTATCGAGAATAAGTCAAACTCTTGTGTATATGTTGTTTCGTTGCAACAGGCATAGACCTAGGTTTCTTCGTCTTATCAGTGTTTTTACATAGCCAATTGTACGTAGCGCTATCTATATCCATAGCAAGATCTAATATCAGGATCTTGACGGTGTTAATTGTTGAGAAGAACATGAACAAAGGGAAGAAACTATTAAATGATAATATTCCCAATGAATATCATCTATAAAGATGTTCTAACTCTATAGACAAGATAATATTGCCTGTTAATACTTTTTTCATGATAATCAAAAGTATCTTTATTAAATAGTACTGTTATTTATCATGCGATCTATGTGTTTTTAGTATAATAGTTTTGCTATCCCGTAGCAACACACGGGCAAGCTACCTATGAGAGAGAATAAAATGCCCACTTTAACACGCACCCAAAAATTAGCTACTCCCGCTATCCGCCGCGCAAACCGCAGCCACCAGCCAAAAAGTCCCGCGCTTGTGCTCGAAACAAAAATCCCAATCTCAAATCCGGCCCCTCACATCCATACGACATCTCCACCCAAACACGCAGCCCCTTACATCCAGAAACCGACGCTCGGTCTTTTTCCTGGCGACTCTTCCCCCGTTGCTCTCTCCTTCGGCAGTCGGCAAGACGGCGACTCCCACTGTCGGCGCCCCTCCCCTCCACCACGACGCCCCTCCTCTCCTCTCCCTGCTGCGCTCGGAGGGGCAGGACACCGCCGCCCTAGCCAGTACTGTTGGCCCCGCGCTGCTGCTGCCAGCCCGGGCCGGGCGGGCGAGCTGGCTGGCCACGTGCCACCGCTGCCGTCCCTGGCCGAGTGGGCAAGCTGCTGCCGCTGCCGTGGCTTGGGTGGGCAGGCCTTGCTCGCCCCGGGCTGGGTTGGGCCTAGACCCGGTCCCGATCCGTGTCGTCTCCGTCCGATCTGCGCCGTGCTGTGCTTCTTCACCCCTCAACGGTGAGATCCGACGCCGTTTTCTCTTGATGAATGTGTATGGAAGTTCTGTGAGATGTACTGTAAAATGTGGTTCTAGGGTTAGGGTTGGCCAACAATCCCTCTCCTGTTTGCTCTATTTTTCTTTTCTGTAATGTTGTATCAGGCGGTGCTTCAGTGATTAGTTTCAATCAGATTATGATTTATTTGCCAGTTCTCTTGGCTTATTTTAATCTGGTCGGGATAAATTGATTTGTTTTGATTGCACATTTCAAACGTACAATAGATTGATTATTGACCTGGGCATAAACGAAAACTACTTTGGATTCTTATGCTGTTAGCACATACTTATTCTTGAATCAATGATTGTCACTTTAGTTGAGTCAAAGCTAGCTTACAGCAGCGATAGAGGTGTATTACCATGTATTGGGTGGTATATAGATCATAGTGTTGTAAGATTCGCAACGTTTCAGTGACTGTTACCATGGATTTTGGCTTGCTACATGTGTATGTATTTTTTTTCAATTAGTAAGTATATGCTCACTTATATTTACACCCTGGATCTATAGCAATCATTATGTTGGCAAATATTAGCTACTCAGTCTGTAACTCTATAGCATATCAGTGGCCTTGTTACCACTGATTTTGGGCTCCTAGCTTGGGGGAAAAGCTAATTTGCTCAACAGCATGTAAGGTGTTCCTTTTCAGGGATGACTATAAGATTAAATTTCTGTACCATTCTTGCTCTTTAGTTGTGAATTTGTGACCCTATCTGAGATTGGTGCACTTGCTGCTGTTGCTTTCCTTCATAGTAGATTAAGATTGCACTTACAAATTGCCCCTATTTCAAAACATATTCTTCCCTTAGAGCACCTGTCAGTTCATCTACTTTGGTTTCCCTATGATGCTAGCTGATGGTACGTCTGTTTTCCTATATATACTTTGGTTCCCCTGGCAGTTCACTTCATTTACTAACTGGTTAAATTTTTGCAATCCTTTTGAGTACCTGAGTGTGACTGGAAGTGCCACAAATTTGAGTTTGACATTTGGTGTTGAAGAAACCTTCCTCTATGTTAATTGAGATGTTGGTAGTCTGTTATAAATTGATTGACTTGCCTCTTCTTTTTTCTTGGTAATGTGTTTTCTCTGACAATTGGTGAGACAAGAAAGGGAAATTTTGGCTATAGCTGTATTTTGCCACAAGATGTAGCTTAATTGTTATTGTTCAGAGATGGTAATTTTATAGCTCTCTGTTCTCTGTTACAGATTAAGCTCAAGGTAATCAGTGGACATGTCCTGATCATGCTTGTAATTCAGTGCTTCATTGTTTAACGAGTTGTGATGCAATATTTGCCAAGTTTATATTGATACACACTACTTTTGATCTATTTCTGCCATGTTAAAACTATTTTCCTCGACTGCTTGTTTGCTTCATGGTGTCCCAGATTGTTGGATAAATTCCTGTTTGGCATAGCAAGATGCGTATAAGTTCTATATAATCTGTGAATATCTTTTGGCATGAGATAAATCTGATACTTAATCATTGTTTTACAATCTTGCTGGTAGGGCGCCGCGAAGCAGCATTCTTTTCTAGTCAGTATTGAAAAGACATACCATGACACCATGGCTGGAGTAACAGAATATATAGTAGCAAACATATATTATTACATTAATAAGGGAATCATCGATTCTTAGGTTCCATGGTCATTTTTTTTGTTGCGCATTAACTATGTTCTCAGAGGACACTTTTTAGAAATATTACCTAATAAGCACGCCTTCTCTTTTTCCTGCATGAGAGAGCATTTGTTCTGAAATTCTCAGCAATTGAAATATACTATCGATGTTGTGTTCAGAACTGTCTACCTACTTCTCCATGGTATGCACATCCTCCGTCCTTTCCCTACTTATTAGTAGATTATTGTGTTTGCCTCAATACCTAAACTTTTCCTAGAAATGTTGCACAATTGATAACGAAACAGACCAACTCAGTTATGCGAGAATGACATGCTAAATGAATTTATGTAGTGATTGTGATTTAGAATCATTGCACGCAAGTGCTTGTAATGATTTATAAATAAACAAAGAAATCTGCTACTGCTACTCTATTATGTAAAATGTAAATAACCAAACATATTCAGTATTTCAGTGTTGGCTATTCAGATTCAGATATTCAGTGTACACTGCTTCTTAAATTAAAACAATGAATTAACAAAAGAATCATGTAGTTTCTTCCTTGCGCTATACTTTCTGGAAATTTTTCTTTCCAGTTGCTCTGTCGATCTCGTTTTTTGTTGATTATTAAAAGGGCGTACCCAGTGCAGAGAGCTCCCGCTCTGTGCGGGGTTGAGGGAAGGGTGTTAGTGGCAAGCCTTACCATCACTTGTGCAATGCGAGGAGACCGTGACTCGAACCCGGGACCTTCCGGTCACAGGCGGTAAGACTCTACCGCTTGCACCAGGCCCGCCCTTCGTTTTTTGTTGATTATTAGCTGTACTTATTATTCAAAGTACAGGCTACTGAGGGGTAGGAGGAGGCATAGTTTGCTAACGCTTTGGTATCCAACACACAGCTGCATCGTCTTCACATGGAGGTGAATTTAGTTCTGGTTTGGGGTGGACTAGCTTAATTAGCAAGGCTTAGCTTCAAGCTTAAATTGTGCAAGTGGTTTTGCCATGTCCTCTGTAGCAATCCTATGCATGCTATGATGAGATGCATCTAAATCTACTTCATTATATCTTGTGATTATCATCTAAGTCTAGTGCAAACAAGTTGCCATATGATTATCATCTAAGTCTAGTGCAAACAAGTTGCCATAAACATACTTCTGACTGTGCTTGGTGATTATCATCTGCTTGATTAACAAGACACATTCTGTTTTTGACAAATGGTCTATACCCTGTAGCTCAATATTCTGTTCTATCAAATTTGGTATCATCTCTATAAATTATTGTTGCTGCAGGGTACATTCCATTAAGCCCAGTAGCCGATAGCAAAACACATTGCCATTGCTGTAAGGAAAAAAATTGATCATATCGTCTTTTGATGGATCATTTTTTACTTTTGAGTGATTCTGCAAATTTATTTGCAAACCTGCTAGTCTTTAGTTTAAGATTCCAAATTGCTGACTTTGTCAACAACATGCTGATGTTGCCAAAATAATAAAATTTCAGTTTACCTGATGCATATACCTTTTTAGGAGCAAGATGGAGTTTGAGTGGAGGCACGAATGCACGATTTATGGGATGATCAACATCAAGACAACCTTTGCTGCAGTGCTACATCACTCATTACATTTTGATGTGTTCAAACTAGCTAGTGTGTGTTGGATACCTTATGTGTTTTAGTTGTGCGTGTGTTATCAACTAAGTTTGACATTGGATGGTTTCATTAATGATTTGTACGAACAAAATATATTTTGGTTTAATGGATGTCTAAATGCTTCATTCATCATATATTGTTCGGCGTGTAATTTTTGTTTGAAGCCACCAAACAAAGCTTTGCAATTTGGACTATTGGCATAATCATTTGGTGTTGCAATATATGCTATAGCAAGTT